ATTTCCTCTTCTTTCTCTCAGCCCAATGTTATTATACGGCTGTGTTCAACGTGTCTGTATTAATTCACCTCACCCCCACGCTCTACCCCACACTCATCCTCTCTCTGTCTTTTAGTGGTCGTTTGGTGTGACGATGTGGGAAATAGCCACGAGGGGCCAGACGCCCTACCCTGGTGTGGAGAACAGTGAGATCTATGACTACCTGAGACAGGGCAACCGGCTCAAACAGCCCCCAGACTGCCTGGACAGCATGTGAGCAATGCAGCCTGCCTATCTGACTGTCTGACTCTCTCAGTCTGACTCTGTATGACTGTTTATCCGTCTGATTTTGTTTTCTGTCTGTCTGACAGCCTGTTTATTTGGCTCTGTCTGTCTCTCCTCAAGTGTCGGACTATTTCTGCCTGATTCTGTCAGTCAGCATAACTGAGTTTAAATCAAAGGTGCTTTATTGGCAGAACTGACAATATTGCCACCACAGTTTACCAGATGTCACCACCTGCCTTTTTGCCTTCCTCTCTCCTCCCTAACTCCCTCCCTCTCTCCCTCTCTCTCTTAGCTATGCCCTGATGTTCTCCTGCTGGCTGCTGAGCCCCAAGGACCGGCCTGGGTTTGAGTCCCTGCGCTGTCAGCTCGAGAAGACCCTAGAGGAGCTCCCGGACCCTCAGGGGCCCGAAGACATCCTGTACGTCAACATGGAGGAGCCCGGCTCGGAGCTGGGGGCCGTCGGGGGCCGCGAGCCCTTGGGGAGCGATGCCTTCCTCAAGACGCCGCCCCCGCCCTTCTCCCTGAGCCCGCTCAAGGGCGCCGCCCCGGTGGCCGTAGCAGAGGTGCACCAGCCGGGACGGTATGTGCTTTGCCCCCAGCATGAAAACCAGCGCCTGTTGTCCGAGTCGCTGGAGAGTCTGCCCCTGACCATGGCTTCGCCTTCCCTGACCCTCGGGCCAGAGGAGTGGGAGGAGGGGCCGCAGGCCGTCAGTAAGGACGTCCCCTGCCAGTGACATCACACCCTCACTGGGCTGTCCTCTCACTGGACACAGCCACGTGGAGACGGAGAGTGCCAGAGAGTGGTTTGTTCACATGGTCCACAGTGAGGTCTACTGCCCTCACTGCAGTCCCCGAGTTCTGACCCCAGTGTCCTCGTCTCCCTACAGGTTTCAAAGTCATCTGTGTGACTGGTGTGAGACACGCCCAATATACCACTTACATCCCAAATCTATAAACAGGTAGATCAGTGCAGACGCTGCACTTCAACTTCCAAAACAGCGTGTATTGAAGTCAGTATACTGCTGTACTAAGCCAGTCCACCAGCTTAAATCAGGACTGCCATCATAAATCATTTCTGCCAGTATAAACCAGTACAGCCCATTTAAATCACCTAGCTCAGACAATATAAATTGGTACAACCAGTATAAGTCAGTATAAATTGGTAAAACCAGTGTAAACCAGTATAACCAACATCAGTACAGTACTCAGTCATAGTTACCCAGTACATTTACTATAAATCAGTAAAGCCACTGTAAACCAGTTCAGGTGGCATAAACCATTAGAGAATACCAACCAAAACAGTCAGTAAAAAGCAGTATGGCCAGTATATTTCCTGTAGGATGTAAACTCTGCTGGTGCCTACCTGCACTACTGGTTCTGTCTCACAGGGATCTCAGTCAGATAGACCAGTTCAAGCCAAGTTCTCCCACTTTTAATCTCAGCTGGATCAAGTGTCACTCCACACTGGAAAAAAAGTGATTTTAGGAATTTTTGATTTTGCACAGAACAAGGGAATCTAATATTGCTGGAGGGGCAAGTGGACCAGTCAGAATGATTCAAGCACAGTATTAATGTTTTTTTTTATAGTGTATAAACCTGAAATAATATTTTGCACTAATATAAATCTTTCTCTCTTTCTATATATGTAAAAAATTGTATCTATGTGTATGTATACTCCTAGATGCTCTTTGGTGTTCTGTGATGGGGAGTTTCTCCTGATCTGATCTGGCTCAAACATGAAAAAGGGAAAAACATATTTTACTCTTTTTTGGTGTGGACTATATTCTTAATGCTGACAAATCAAAAAGAAAGCTGAAACTCCCTATGGGGACTCTTAAAGCATTTATAGACACATTTCCAACATGCTTCATACCGTATCTATGCTAATGTACCCTCTTCCTGAAGAAAATGTATACCCCTTTATTCTTGTGGACTCGTTCTCATATCAGAACTTGGTTTTGAATGATTCCTTATTTTGAAAATACCTGGAGCCGATTCCCAGGTACTGTACCGTCAAGAAAAGGCAGGATAAAATCAGAGGATCAGTAAATTACAAGCAACCAAAGATGCTTGATGGGCCTCCTGTCCTCTTCTGTAGACTTCTTGTAATAAACATGGAAAGGCGAGATGGGTGTGGCCGTAAGCAATACAGCCACCCAGCTTGCACGCTGCATGAAGACGGACTACATCAGCACATTCCCATGGAAAGGCTCCTAACCAATGATACTGCAGTATGCAAACCAGGTGGCCATATTGCCTAGACAGAGAACACAAACACGAAATAACACCATAGCCACCTAACCCATACCCATACCCATAAATGGTTCTTGTGGTCGGCAAGAGATGTGCAGAACAGCCTTCGTGTAGCACTGCCCCACCCCCAGGCTTAGAGCTGAGTGGTATATCAGATGAAATACCCGCTCTTGCTCCAAGTGTGGTGGTGTCAGAGGGTGGAGGCCAGAGCTGGAGTCGTTTTTTTCCACTAAGCCGCTCTGCCTGGACTTTGCAAAGATGTACACGTTTAAGAAATTAGAAATCATCTGGAAACTGAGTTTGGAGTGTGGAAGAGCCCATAGGAACACCATTTAAAACACCCTGAGCAAGCTTGTTCTTTAGAGATGATATGTAAATGTTCTTGAAAATGCATCAGTAAGGCTTTCACAGTTGCCTGCCAAAATAAGGGATTTCTGTTTTCTCTTCAGGAGTCAACAGAGGTGTAAGCTAAACGTGGCAGAGTTGTCCGAGTCTTGTAAAGCAGTTCGGACTGTGAAAGCAGGACTGTGGTCAAACCGTGGTCAAGTGTCACGCCATCACAACTGACTGTTATTTCACTGACCTACTGACATAAGAGATGAACAGTTGTGACTTTAAAATAAGTGGCTTTTTACTGAAGCTCTCCATCAGAGAAATCCATGCTGAAATTCAAGTTCAACAAACAGACTTGTCTTCTTTCTGCATGCTATGGAATAAAAGTTGTTAACAAGCGAATTCGAAGGTAAACTCCTAGAGCCAGAAACGAAGGAGAAGAGGTGGAAAAAAGGGACCATGTCAAGAAAGGCAATTAAAAAGGGAAATGGGAAAAGAGTAATGGTGAAAACCTGTCTAATAACTTCATAACCACTTAAAAGTTTGAGTTATTTCCATGTCATTGGACAACTCCGTGCAAGTCTTGGGATTTTATCTCTTTCTAACTGTTTGTGGATTGATGATGCGGTTTGTGTCGGTGTGTCTGTATTGCACATTCCTCTCAGTACACGGAGTGGGAGAGATAGAAAGAGAAAGCAGGAGGTTAATACAGGTGAAGATACCACAGCCGGTCTGACATTGTCCAGATAAATTCACCCTTTCTCAATGAGTAAAATATTGTAGCTGCATCATACAAATCGACTTACTGTATATAAACACACAATATATACTATAACTTGCTAACTTTACACAGTGCCTTAAACAAAGCCAGTATTTTGAGTCTGACTGTTGTATTAAATTGTATATGAAGTGAGGATCTGTTTGGGAGAATATACTTTTCTACTATGGCTATGATTGTCATTTGTATTGCTGTTTTTTTTTTTAAAAGATTTTTATAAACTTTTTATGAAATCATGTCCAGGCAGTGTTTGTGTGCTCGTGTAAGTAAAAGGAAATATGTCACTGTGGTATACTATGGTAAAGGCACAGGAAAGGGTAGTGGACCATAAGGAAATCATGGAAGAAATACCCATACCTGTTGTCTGGTAAAGGTTAGGACTGGCTCTGCCAAGCACTGCTGTAAGCACGGTAAAACGAAAGCCAACTGCAGCAACACAGTACTGTCCCCCAGTGAGCGTGCTCGAACTCATCTGGCCAAAAGTCTCCATTCTGGTTGCCTGTTGCAAGATGACCTCAAGAGTAGATGTGACTTGAATGTAAAAAAAATACAGAAGAAACATCCTCAGGTGCATCCTATCTATAGGTCAACCAATCAAATCTCTCAATTCATCAACAAACAGAGCCCATAACCAATTGTTTTCTAGGGGTCTGAATTCCATAATGAGATACAGTACACCTGCAGATCGCACAGGCCACAGGCTTCTTAATCAAACTAAGAAAGAAATCTTAATATGGACTTGTACAAAACTACTCAAAACCACGAAGATAACACAATTTCATTTTTCCCCTATACCTCAGTGGATACATTCAGAAATAGTTCAGACTTGTTATCATATGAGACTTGAAAATGAGACTCAGAAACTGTAGTGATAACTCATTGTTTATATTCATGCCCGTATCGTTTTACGTGTCTGTGGAATTATACATGGATATTTCTAAGAATTCATGGCAGTTTTGCTTCTCTCTGCCAGTAACTTACAGACGTAATTATCATATTCAGCCTTTACGAAGCACCTTTTAGGACAACATTTCAAGTAAAAGGGAAATCAGCAGCAAACAGATACACATGCTGGAAAATATACAGTACAGGAGAAAAACGAGCATAAAAACACAGTTTAAGACAGTGAAAAAAATTCTGGATATTCTTGCAAGATCTTATACCATTTTATAGCAATTAGAAATACATGAGAATTGACCATGACTCTTCTGTTTCATTCTCCTCCTAAAATGCTAGACTCCCCTCCACAACCCCAGTTTCTTTTACAGACAATTTAAACAGTCTGGCTTCAGACTAAGAAAGTGAATGTCCCCGTCGAAATCCTGACCTGAATCCTACTAAAAATCCCTAGGAAGACCCGAACCCTGAAGACTGTCGTCTGTAAGCGATCCCCAAGCAACATGAGACAGCCTGAAGAAACTGGCCAAGAAGACTGGGGCAAACGTGCAGATGAGCAGAGACATATCCCCATTGATCCCTCATCATGGCCGCGAGAGTTCAAGTTTATTGTCATTACACTCATATACATGGTATATGGTATAACGAAATGCTATTTAGCTAGCTCTCGGACATAAGTAGTACAAAGAGAAAAAACAACAACAACAACAACAACAATACAATTGTGCAGCAAAAGAAAGACAGAGACAACAGGCAGTGTGCAAAAAACAACAACAGACGATGTGCAAAAAAACAACAACAGGCAATGTGCAAAAATTGCTATGCTTGTCTCATCAGGACCCACAGGTCTGGGTCCTGATGAGACAAGCATAGCAATTCAGGTTTTGAAAAACATATTCAATTTTTGTTAAATGTTCGCGCGTTACTTGGTAATTTCACAAGACGGGTCACCATAGAAAGGGTCTGAATACTTTTACAAGGCATGGGGTCTGTTTGTCCCTCTATTTATCTAAGACCTCTATATCTTGTTTTTCTTATATCCATATTACCTTGTGTTGTCCTCTACAAATACAAATGAAATGTAAGCGTTAAATCCTTTCTGAAAAACTGCTAGTAAAACAGCAGTTATATGGTCACAGATCTAGGCACAGGCTCCCTCCGATTCCCACAATCACTAGTGCAGGGGTTTCTAACTCCAGATTTAGGGGTCAACTGGTCCAGTTAAACTTTAGATAAATTAAACGTTTCTCCAAGATGCAGAGCTTTTCACAACATAAAGCTGCACAGAATACCTGTGTTGGAAACTCCTAGGTTAGTGTAATAGATATGGGTTGTGGTTCCTTGAAATTGACAAAACACTGATACAGCCAATGTCCACTTTATGTTCTAATGAGAGAAGTGAGACACATGAGATACTACAGCATTTCCATTTCTTTAAACCTGAAAGCCTACAGAGGTCAATGGCCACTTGAATTTCCAATAGCTGGTGTGCATGTGTGGTCAATAAACATGGCATCAGTGGAGTCACAGCCAAACGAAGACAATGCTGCTGGACATTCAGGGTGACAGCATGTCTCTTACTATTTCAATTCAATTCAATTCAAGGTGCTTTATTAGCATGACCGATGGGAACAATCAGTGTTGCCAAAGCAATAGTTTGTACTATTGCCGTACAAGAATTTAACACAGCAGGTCGAATAACATGGTCTATGCTTCCACCTGGTGGCCATCCTTACTACTGCATGAGAAGAGTAGAGAAGACATTTCGTTTGTGACTGAAGCAAACTGGGTTTGGTTTGGGTGCAGGTAAATAATAATAAAGAAGAAGGGCATTTTGTTTGTGTGTTGGTGCACAGGGAGTCAGAAGAGAGTCTCTGCCCATGACTGCTCTGTTGTGGTGGAGCTGCACTCTGGTTCGCTGAGCTATGAGTTCAAGGAGAAACAGCAAAGTACAGATAAAAATAAGAACAAAACTATAAAAGACATAATATTGTCACTGTGCTGTGCCACACTG